AAGTTGAGAATTTTTTTTTAACATATGCAACAACAACAAGAAAAGGAGGAAGAGGGAGGAGGGGGGAAGGGAAGGGGGAAAATTGAAAAACAACAACAAGTGACACTGACGAATTATGAAACAAAATGTGACAAACAACAACAACAACAACACAATGGTGATTTATTTTCAAAAGAGAGAGAGAGAGAGAGAGAGAGATGGAGCGGGTTAAGTACACACCGAAACGAATCAAAGATTTTAACAAGCGTCATTAGCCTCTGTATATTCGTTGTTCCCTGGGGATCTCCCCGAAATTAGTTAATTTTTAAACAAGACCTGTTCGAAACTCTTTTTCTCTCTCTCTCTCTCTCTCACTCTCTCATTCTTTCTTTCTTTTGAATGTTAAATTTTTTTTCTTTTTTCTTTTTTAAAAAAGCTACCGACCTAATAATAAAAAGATTTGTTTAAAAAAAAAAAAATTCGTGACTAAAAAAAAAAAAAGGATTAAAGAACGATATCGTTTGTCTACGTCAAAAACTCTTTCCCCCTTTACTCTCCTAACTACCACCTTCCCCTACTCTCCCCTCCCCAAAAAAACAAAAAAGTTAAAATTGTTTTTTCTGTTTTTTCTTTTTTTTTTGAATTACATTCCGTGAAAAAGGCACGAAAGAAAAATCTCTTACGAAATATAATCATTCATAAAAAAATGTATTCCACGTTTTTCCTCTCTCTCTCTCTCTCTCTTACTCTTTCTATCTCTATCTCTTTTTAATACGATGAGACTAATAGTTATTTAAGTGATTTAAAAAAAAAAAAGGAAAACAGGCATAGGGTAGAGAAATAATAAAAAAAAAAAATAGCTGACACAAAACACACGTAATTCTTTTATTATTATCATCATCATCATCATCACCATCATCATCATTATTATTATTAATAATGATAATAAAGCAACAAAACGACGACCTCCCATACGAAGCAGTAATAATCTCGACAATAATAATAATAATAATAATAATAAATGACGAAATATGACCGATACGGTATATTATTTTGTATTAAACTCAATTACGCAATGACCGTCTTCTTTTACCCCCTTCCTCTCTCTCTCTCTCTCCACCTACACCTTCCCTTACCCCCTTTCCGCACACTTATTACCTCCTCTACGATTAAATGGAAAGGAATAAAAGCGAAAAGGTCTCACACAGACCCACATGTAGACTATCCAAAGATTGCCTGGAACTATTTTTTTTTTTTTTTTTTTTTTTTACTGACCTTGACGTGAGTCATGTGAGAATCACGTATGGATTGTTTATTAATAATAATATAAAATATATATAGAAGTTTTATACATTAAAAAAAAATTTTTTTTTTTTTTTTCTGATTCCACGAACATCTTCCTGCAAATAAATGTATAAGGGCTAGGCAGGACTAGAATACGTGTACAATATGGTATCGAAGTATTAAATTTTAAGTGTCAAAGTCCCTTATACCACGACGGAAACGTGACAATCAATTTTGTCCGGCAATGAATTTTTTTTGTTTTAACCGAAACTCTGCCAAAAACTTGTCAGACATAAACGGATCTCTCTCTCTCTCTTTTTCTGTCTCTTTCTCACTCCCTCTGTCTTTTACCATTCACGTACAAATAACATTTTTTTTAATTTTTCCATTTAAAACGAAGAAGACAAAATAATAATAATGCCTGAGGAAAACCTTGAATAAATTACTAATAATTTAAAAAGAGGAAACCTTGTTCGGGTCGTGCAAGAGTTTAATATTTACATAAGGAAGGTAATAAATAAATTTTCGAATGGATCGACCAACTGTTTCCGGTCATCCCAAAAAGTCGCCATGTTTTTTTTTTTTTTTTTTTTTTTTTTTTGTTAAAACGGTCGTGCAGGGTGTTGCGACAAGACACGATCAACCATTCAATTCTCACATACGCACGCACGCACACAAACGTTAAAAACAAAAACACGATGCACGATGGTGTTTTTTTTTTCTTTCCCCAAGTTTTTTAATTATTTTTTTTTTTATTTAAAATTATTTTACTGCCATTTTGTATCACATTAGTGCATAGAATAACAGTTAATCTATTTTTGAACGAGGTAAAAGGGTTAAATTTATATTTGAGAGCATCATGACGAAATTAAAATCGAAAAAAAAAAAAAAAAAAAAGAAGGGGATGTTCCCACTTAGAAGTTAAATAAATGCTTTTAAATTAAAAAATTATTTATATATACATATATATAGGAGCGCACGAAACCACACACGGACGTAAGATATGTGAAGAAGCTTTGATTAATGTCGTCTGCAAGATATTGTACCAACAGAGAGAGAGAGGAAGAGAGATAGAAAATCAATTAAAATTATCGAAAATATTTTAATTTAAAATATTTTTAACAGAATAATCAAAGGATATGATCAACTAAATTTTAAAAATTAATAAACGAAATAATGACGTCAAATAGTAATAATAATAATAATTGTCAACCGTGGTTTTTTACGTGCAACGTTTAAAAAAAATTACGATTCATCTTTTGTCTCTCTCTCTCTCTCATTCCATCAACAAACGTAAATTAGCAAGCGGGGTGTCCTAAAAGAACAAAAACAATCCACCAAGAGTGAGTGTGTGTGAATCCATATAAACGCCCTTGAAAATTTATCGAAAAAAAAAAAAAAAAAACCAAAACAGTGGGCTGATGAGAGATCTTGTATGATCTTGTGAGTGGAAGCATGGGAACAATACAAGTGATTAAGTTTGTTTTTGTTTGTCTTCTAAACCGTTTGCCAACTGCCTCTTTTTTTTTCTCTCTCTCTCTCTCTCTCTCTTGTATCCACAATATTGCGCACGAGAAATTTTTTTGTGTTTTACTAATAACGAGTCAAATGATATCTCTTGTACGATTTTAACACCATATTCTTAAATGTTACCTTGTCTTGGTATAATCTTACACGTCATTTACAGTTAATATATTTATATATATATATATAAAAAGGAACGAACAAACACAACCATCGGGTCCAACTTTTTTTAAATTACCTTAACCTTGGAATTACATTATCGATAAATTAATTTTAAATAAAATTATAAATAATTAAATAATTCATTATAATTTTTTATACATTACGGGGGGGGGGAAGAAAAACAAAACAGAAAGGATTAGATTAATAATATTAATAAAACAACCTCGTTTGCCTTTACTCATCGCAAACATTCGTACAACGTGAAGATTACAACAACAACAACAACAAAAAACTGGAATTGATGCTGTACGGTTTTTCTATCTCTCTCTTTCTCTCTCTCTCATTCTTTTTATTTTAAGGTCGAAAGTTCGTAACCCGTACATGAACGTCTATTAATTTTTTTTTATTCTTTTGTCACTGAAGATTTGACCTAAGGCGTGATTAAAATTCTATTATTATTATTATTATTATTATTATTATTATTATTATTATTATTAATGTTTATGCGAATGTATTGCCCAGTTACCCCGATTGCGAAAATTATTATCTGAGAACGACCCGATTCGATTTTTCCCTTTTTCAAATACTAATCGATACGTCACGGGAATGGAAAACTGCCACGCCACCACTACCACCACCACCCCCACGTAAAAAAAAAAAAATATCAGGAATAAAAATAACAGATGCACATCCGGTTTGATTTTATTCGGCGACAGAAATCTATATCTACTACTTAAAACTATTCAAGCATTGATTTCAATTAAATTTCTATTTTTTTTTTTTTTTTTTTTTTTACAGATTCCGCTTAAGAATATTTTAAGAAAGGGGTTACGAAAGAATACCTTTTAGAAAAAAAAAAAAAAAAAATTTATACTACTAATAATAATAATAATAGTAAAGAAAATTGTCGAGAGAAAGAGAGTTAATCGAAGCGTTAAATTAAACGTCACACAAACAAATTAAATAACAAAAAAAAAAAAAAAAAAAAAAAAATTGAAAAGAATCCGAAAGGTAAATGTGTGTGTGTGAGAGAGAGAGAGAGAGAGAATTAAGTAAAGCGACAGGAATTTAAAAAAGAAAATTTGTCGGAACGACGTAATTAAACGACGACAAATACAACAAAATTGATGAAAATTATGTTGTCAATCCGCGAATCCCGCAGAGAGAAACTGTCGTCGTACCTAAAAACAAGTTTTTTAAACAATTTTTTTTTTTTTTTTTTTTTTCTATTACCCCGACAAATGAAAACGTCACAACGATTTAAATAAAAAATAAATAAATAAAAATTTTTCGGTTTTGTTTCGTCCATTTGACAAAGAAAAAAAAAAAATAAAAAGATGAGATTGCCAGTAATTTTTTTTTTTTTTTGTTAAAGACCTCATTTTTCGATCGGTAATGATCGGGTATAGAAAATCGCCAAAACGGGGGCGAATGTCTAGACGTCGACGTCGTCAACGACGACGACGACGACGACGAAGATGATGATAATGATGATGATGATTGTAAAGACAACCCAAAAATGGAACAGTTGTCAATGAAATGTTTGCACACACACAACATTTTTTTTTTTTTTTTCAAAACAACAACAGTGTGTTTTGTGCTGTTCCACGTGGTCACAGCATCTTTTTTTTTTTTTTTTTTTAAATGAATGAATGAATTTCTCTCGTTCGTTCGTTCGTTCGTCAATTAATTTTTTTTCGTTTCTAGTAAAAAAAAATTTTTTATTTTTTATTTTTTACGTAATGGGTTTGAACTTGCAATTAATTTCAAAATAAAATAAAATAAACTATATCACGATTTTAATTAACCAACCGTTTTACTAATCAACCCATGTTACAACCCGAAAAAATAAAAAAAATAAAAATTTATTTATTTAATTTAATTAAATTCAAAATTAATGATATTAAAATTGTTATTATATGGTGATATGGAAAAACCACTTTTCGTGGTTTCCCTTCCCCCTCTGTCTCCGTCTCTCTCTCTCTTTTTCGCGAGAACCCATAAACGAATAATAATAAAAGTTGGGGAGGGGGGTTCATTAATTAAATTATTTATAATATGAAACATAAACTTACCGGCCAGGTAAAATCAAATTTAAATGCGATGGGATTTGTAAATTCTCCCTTTTTCGAATCCATTATCGTGAGAGAATTTTCACCCAAAACGGGAGTGACAACATCCCCGAACGTGCACGGAGAATTCATATCTATCCGTGCCTGATAATGTTTTAAACAAATTCTAAATTGCGTTCGGCAAGGACCCGAACATTCTCCTGTGGGTGTAGGATTTTCACCGCTGCAACAATTTCCCTTGTTGTCTTTACCGTAGTCGTTAGTGAACGATTTTAACCGCAGCTCGAAAACACCCGATGATTGTACCTGGAAAAAACGAAAGAGAAAAACATAAATAAAAAAAATCATAATTTTAAATTTAAAAAAAAAAAGGAGAGGAGACATCATCAAAAAAAAAAAAAAAAAACAAAATTGAATTGATGGATGATGACGATGACGATGATGATGATGATGAAAATAAAATTTTTGATAGTCGAATGAACTAGTTGTAAAACCTAAACAGGTGCAAATCTTTTTGAGCTATGGGAATAGATTATATCTTCTCTTCTCAAAGTGAGTTTCAAAAAAAAAAAAAAAAAAAGAAAACAAAAAACATTAGCAAAGGTACGACGAAATGATAAGAAATAAGAAAATGAACGAGAGCTAACAATTTTAAACGAGAAGAAGCGTCTTTTTATATTACGATATTAACGCGTCTTTGGATTTCTTAAATGATTACGCTTTACGTGTCTTAACCGTATCGTGTGAATTCTTATTAAATTTAAAAAAAAATCAGGTCGACTTATGTTTACAAGAAAGATGAGGAAAAGAAATCGATTGAACCTTTTTTCCTCTCTCACTCTCTCTCCTGTGAATAAAATAATAATAATAATAATATTCAACAGATGTGTGAGTGTGTGTAAATCCTGATGTTGTTTTTCTGCTTTTTTTTTTTTTAAATCATTCAAATAAAAACAAAAAAACATGGCAAAAAAAATTTCTCATGTCCTTTTTTTTAAAAGGGTTACTACAAACACATTAGAGAAAAGGAAAAACACAAAAGTTTTTAAAAAGTGAATAAACTTGATAAATCATTAATCAAAACCTTATTCATAAGCACGAACAGGTATATAGAAAAAATATAACGGGGAAATAATAATAATAATAATAAACCAACCGAAAAACCTCAAGAATTAATAAAAAAAAAAAGCGAAGAGAGTAAAAGGGGCAGAAATATACGCACTTACTTGAAGGGATGGATGGACAAATTTAAGGGTATTATCTCATTTATAAAATTGCAAACCTCTAAAAAAAAAAAAGAGCCATTTTTATTAATAATACGTGCTCGAAATAAATGAACCGCCATGTTTTTTTTTTTTTATGAAGGAAAAGAAAAAAACCTGAGAAAAAGGAAAAGAGATATAATAAAGGCTCTTGACTCGAGAGAGAGGGAGAGAGAAAAAAAAAAGGATCGTCTTATAATCCGATTAAAATTTGTGACAATAGAATTTTTTTTTTACTTTTTACATTCAGGTTGTCGTCGACAAAAGTACAAGAGTGGAGAGTGAGCCTGTACCGGTCAGGTTAAATAAAAAAAAAAAAAAATTGTCTTCGACATGACGAAGAAGAACTTTTTTTTTTTTTTTTTGTCAAGTAATTGAAATACAAAAAAAAAACTCGGAGGGTATTTTAAAAATTTAATAACGTTGGCGGTTTAACTGAATGAAAAAAAAATTTTTTTTTAAATGAATTAAAACCATTTTTGTCTCATTAAAGAAAAAAAAAAAAAAAGATTCAATCGATTTATTGATTTTTTTTTCACTTATAATAATAATAATAATAAAGGTACATTTCATTAATAAAAAAAATATAAAACTTCAGGTATATACACCTTTTTCTTTCTCTCTCTCTCTCTCTCTTTCTTTTACAAATTCACGAATTTTTTATATGACCAAAATATTACAGCCAATATGGCCGACGACAATCGTGTTTCCATTTAATAATGTCATTAATTTAAATCAAATTAATCACACGACAACGATAAAATAAAAGAAGGGGGAAAAAAAATGAAAAGGTCTCAAGGCGATCGATCATTAACCAAAAAAAAAATGTTTGGGGGGCAAATTTTTCGACAACAAAATCAATGTCATTGCCACCTAAATCACATATTAATTGTGTTAAATTGTGTTTTGTGTGTGCTCCCGTAAAAAATGTGGGAACAATGAAACGATTCATTTTAAAAACCCAAAAAAAAATTTTTTTTTATCGCGGTCGAACGAATTATGTTGGTAACGCCGTAAAATTAAAACGGTTTTTTCTTTTTCTCACGTGCTCGCACCATCAAGCAAAATCCTTCGATATATCGAAAACTAATTCTTAAAAATATTAATCGTTCGGGGGTTATGGAATTTTCTCGATACGTAATATTCATTCCCCCCCCCCAGATTTCTAAGACGCGCACGACCCCCACACAACCGTTAAAAAAATCGCAAATAGAAAACCTTTTTCTAAGTAATAAAAATCATTCATTATAATAATAATAATTTCCATTTGCCTTTTCGGTAAATATAAATGCGAATAACGACGAATGTCGTCACGACAAACGTGATCACGTGACATCAAAATAGTTAAACAATCGAATACTTAGCAACATCCGGTCTAGTCATCATTCATATTCGGCAAATTAATATTTAATAGAAAAAAAAAAAAAAAATTAAACGAATTCATTTGCCGCTGTCGATATATTTCTCTCTCTCTCTCTCTCTCGACTATCGAATCGACCGTTCGATTCTCGAATCGGACGAACGGCACAAAGTTAAAAAGGAAAAATTCTAAAGAATTCATTTGCATTTAATACCGTAAAAAAAAAAAAAAAAATCGGTAAAGTTAAAAATAAAAAAATTCCGATTTTTCATAATAATCGACGCAGACGAGACGATAAATCAATATTACGAGAGAGAGAGAGAGAGAAAAACCGTTAAAAAATTTTTAAAAATTCAAGATTCGATTCGTTGATAAATAAAATGCGAGGGAAAAAAAAACAAAATGACCGCTGAAAAAATATTGTGGGAAAGTTTTTAATAAGAAAAAAACTCGACTGGTCTTTATTACCGCGATTGCAAAAAACATAATAATTTAAAATTCGTCGTTAAATATCCATAATAATAATAATAATAATAATTTGGGGAATAATAATTTTGAAATTTTCAATGACCGTTACGTAAAACTCACCTGATGAAAAGCTGCTGCTATGAGGATGACAACCGTTGTTGTCGCTGACATGATAATCCTCATGATGCGTCGCGGCACTTTTCCCAAGCCACGGCGACAATAATAAATCGCTACCTATAACACCTAAAACACCGCGCCATTTAATGTTACAATACTTTTTAAGATTTATTCGCGAACACACTAAAAAAAAAACGGTTACAAACGGGGGGAAAAAAAACCGAATTTTAATATTTAAAACGATATCAATCACTACTTAACACTGATCCGAAACTTTTTTTTTTTTTTTTTTACAAATTTTTTTTAATCTTCAAAATGAAAATCACTCGCGTAATCCACAGATATTATGAAACGTAATTTGTAATAATACAAAAAAAAAAAAAAAAAATCACAAAATTTTTTTAAAAAAATGGATAACGGAAAAAGAACACTTTCAAATTTTTTATAATATGAAAAAAATCTTTTAAAGAAATAATCAATCACTTAATTAAATTAAATATGAGTAAATAATTACTAAGTATTTTATTAATTTAATAAAACGGAGTGAAAATTAATTATTAATAACGAACTTTCAAACAAATAAAAAAAAAAAAAAAAAAAAATTTTTTTTTCTTCTTCTTCTGTCAATTTTATCATAACTGTGAATAGAGTGAATCCGTCCTAACACGCGATCATCAAACGACTGAAGACGCTGCAAACAACCCCCAGCATCGGTCTCCAGCGCTAGCTGCGATCGTCCGTTCTATGAAATTATTAATTCTCTAAATCGCCACCAGAGCACTTCTAATTCCACGACATTCTCGCTCTTTCTACCTCGGATATATTTAACGTACTAAATGATTTTGATAATGACCCTTATTTATAAGTTTTCTATTTTTAAATTTAAAAAAAAAAAAAAAAAAAAAAAACTAAAAACTTAAAAACAGCTGCTTATTTACCCGAATAAAATATATATAAAAAAAAAAAATTGTACCCGGTAACTCGTGATTTTAAATAAAAAAACAATAATAATAATAATAATAATTTTTTTTCATACCCCCACGTGGTTCTAATTGTTTATAACAAAAAACGATTTTTTCCCTTTTTTTTTTAAATGATCCATATTCGAAATTATTAAAAACAATACAAATGAATTATTTACATAATAATTATTTTTTTTTTTTAAAAAAAAAAAAAAAATTTAAAATCTTATTATTACATCTTAAACGATTTACCTTTGAAAATATTAAATACGACACAATTTATTTGTCGGTCGGTTTGTTAAACATTAAATAATTTATTAAATATTTATTAATACATAAATTTTTATTTTTTATTTTTTGTTCTTGCTCACGGTTTGATAACATGATCGTGACTTTTTCGAAATTTTTTCCTTCTCGTGTATCCCCGCCATCACGAGATTTAATATAAAAAAATTTTTTTTTTTTAAATTAAATTAAATTATTTTCCTTTCTCAAAAAATTATTTAAACCTTTTAATATTTTTATTATTATTATTATTATTATTATTATTATTATTATTATTATTATTATTTTAATTTAAAACTCGCGCCAAACGTTTAATTAATCCCAATAATGTATAATAATTTGAAAATTTTAATAATATAATAATAATAAATTCTAGAATATTCGATTGTTATACGTTTACCTTGAACAAAAATTTATTATATATAAGACCGGTATTGCCAATATTGCCAAAATAAAATTTTTAATAATAATAATAATAAAAACGCGAATAATTATAACAAAACAATTTTTAAAAAAAATGTTTATAATAATAATAATAGCGAAACGAAAAAAAATTATTCATTTTTTTTAATTAACTAACCGATATAATAGTTTTCTTTTTCTTACCGGGTAATAAAAAGCAAAATCCACGACGGAAAAAAAAACAAAAAATAATAATAATAATAATGATAATAATAATAATAATACAAAACGCATGAGTGATTTAAATTATGATGGCCATACATTTTTTTTCTTCCTTTTTTTTTTTTTTACATTAATGAATGTCTTTTATTTCTCACGATATTTAAAAAATGATGATAATGATAATGATGATGATGATGATGATAATAAACGTACAAGTAATAATTTATCAATTTGCAAAAAAAAAAAAAAAAACAACAACAATAACAAAAA